CATAGGAGCAGAAAGGCTGACGTTTCGGGCCTCGATGAAGGGTCTAGGCCCGAAATGTCAGCCTTTCTGCTCCTATGATGCTGCTTGGCCTGCTGTGTTCATCCAGCCCTGCACCTTGTTGTCTCGGATTCTCCAGCATCTGCAGTTCCTACTATCTCTGGCCTTTTTTTGTACCAGCTCTCAGTTCTAGATGTTCTCTCCAATTAAATATGGAAACAAGCAAAATTCACTACTTTTGGTTCTTGCAACAGACTCATAATCCAAGCCACCAAATCTACCCTTCAACCTGGCAATGGCCTGAGGCTGAACCAGTTTGAAAACATATTAGCATTGTGTTTGATTGAGGTAAGCAACTGACCATATGCACCATTAAGTCAATCAATTTCCCTGCAATAACATTTGATTCAGTCCCTGCTTCAGCTCATCTGCTGCTGAAGACCTCATTTATGCTCTTGTTATTTCCAGAGTCAACTATTCCAATGCACTGGCATCCCACATTTTGAACTCTGTAAACTTGAGGTCATGCAAAACTTTGCTTCTCCTTGTCCTAACTCTCATTAAATTCCATCTATCCATCGCTCTGTTGTCACTGTCCCACATTGGGTCCTATTGAAATAACATGTCAATTTTAAAAATATCATCATGCCTATTAAATCCCTTTATGGCCTAATTCCTTTCTATCTTTAATGTCTCCTTGAGCCCCGCAAAATTCCAAGATCTCTGTTCTCCTCGAAACCTGGCCTCTTGAGCATCCCCATTTTTAGTCATTGCAGCATTGGTGGTTGTGCCTTCAACTTGCAAGGTCTGAGTCTGTGGAATTGCTTCTCTAAGCCTCACAGCCTCCCTATTTGTCTCTTCTTTGAAGATGCTTCTCAAAATCTACCTTTTTGATCAATCCTTTGTTCATCTTCATTCAGATCTCCTTTAGTGGTTTGGAAATAAATTTTGCTTGATACTGCTGCTGCGAGGCAGAGTGCGATGTTTATTGCATTTGAGGTGCTCTATAGATATATATATATATGACTCATTATTATTAAGTGCCAGTTGTTGTACATTAATCCAACACTAAGGCAATCAATGCTTCTTGCAACTCTGAAAGAATCTGAAGTTCATTTTTGCATAAAGCCTTAAACCTTCCACAGAAGTGCCTTCAAGATGTCCTCCTTTCTCCTCAACTGAGTACCTCCCGCATCTTCCCTGCATTGACAGGGCCCTCCGCCAAGTTGTCCCATTTCTTTGATTTCCACCCTCACCCCTTCCCTTCTCTCCCAGAACAACAATAAGGTTCCCCTTGTCCACAGTTTCCACTCCACCAGCTTCCACATTCAAAAGATCATCCTCTACCATTTCCACCATCTCAAAAAGATACTATTCTCTCCACGATTTTCCTCCATCACTCCTAACACTTCCATGACACCTTCTCATGCAATCGCAGATGTAACAATTATCCTTTTATTTCCTACCTCCTCACTGTCCAAGTTTCCAAATACACCTTCCAGGTAAATTTGCAGTGTTTCAGTTGTACGTCTTTCAATCCAATCTACTGTATTCACGGCTCATAATATGGTCTCCTCTATAATGGCAAGAGCAAACACAGACTGGGTAACTGTTTTGTGGAACACCTTTACTCTGTCCGTAAGAATAACCCCCAACCTTCCAGTTACTTGCCATTTCAATGCACCAACTTGCTCTCATGCTAACATTCCTTTCCTAGGCCTGCTGCAATGTTCCAGTGAAGCTCAGCGCAAGCTGGAGAAACAGCCGTTCATTTTCTGTTTAGGCATGTTATAGCCTTCAGGATTCAACATTAAGTTCAACAACTTCAGAGTATGAACAGTGTTCTCTATTTTGATAAGAAGGCCCCATCCCCAATACCGAAACACCTGCATTATGTCTTGTTTGTGTCGTGTAGGCTTTGCTTTCAGCATCACTGATCCACACCTATCTTCTTCTCACACCTATCATCAAAACCTATTTTATATCTCAAGTGCTCCTTTACCAATCCATTTGTCTTTTATGTGGGACCTTACTGAAAGACTTTTGAAAGTCAAAGTAAACCACATCCACTGGCTGCCCCTTACCAGCCCTACTGGTTACATCCTTGAAAAATTCCAGTATATTTGTGATTTCCCTTTCCTAATTCCATGCTGTCTAATTCTGTACTGTTTTCCAACTATTCTGTTACTAAATCTTTGATAATTGAATCCATTATTTTCTCTACAATTGATGTCAGGCTAACTAGCCTATAATTCATATCTCTGTCTACTTCCCGTTAAATAGTGGGGTTACATTAGCTACCTTCCAATCCATAGGAATTGTTTCAGAGTCTGTAGGCTCTTGAAAGATTCCACACATGCATCCATTATTTCTATGGCCTCTTCCTTAAGTACTGCAGAATGTAGATTATTAGGACCTGGGGACTTATCAGTCTTTAATTCCATCATTTCCCCAACACCATTTCCCTGCTAAAACTGATTTCCTTGAGTTCCTCCCTGTCATTAGATGCTTTGCTCCCAAATTCTTTTGTGATGTTATTTGTGTGAAGACACAAGGAACATAAGAACAAAAATATGTATTTAATTGATCTGGCATCTCATCATAACTTCATTTGTTTCTGATCATAAAGGGCCTACATTTGTCTTCACTAACCTTTTTTCTCTTCATATATTAGCAGAAGCTTTTACAATTAGTTATGATATTGTCTGCAAGCTTACTGTTGTGCTATTTTTCCCTTCTTAATCAATACCTTTGTTGTTCTTTGCTGAAATCGAAACTGCTCCTAATCCTTAGGTCTTCTGCTTTTTTGGGCAATTTTAACACCCTTCCTTGGATCTAATGATATTGTTAATTTCCCTTTTGGTCATGGTCAGGCCACCTTTCCCATATTATTTTTGTGCCAGACAGGAATAGACAATTGTTGCAGTTCTTCAATGTGCTCTTTAAATGTTGGCTTTTGCTATCTTTTTAAGTTATCTTTTTAAGTAATATTCACCAATTTAGAATAGCCAGCTTGTGCCTCATACTTTTGTAGTTTGCTTTATTTAGATTCAAGACCTTAGTCTCAGAATTAACTGTGTCAATCTCCATATTAATGAAGAATTCTATCATATTATGGTCTCTGTCCTCCAAGGGGCCTCACAAAACTAGATTACTAATTATACTCTTCCAGGATGATTTTATATCCGTTTAGGATGACCTGTTCTCCAGTTGGTTCCTTGATGTATTAATCCAGAAAACCATCCCATACAACCTGCAGGAATTCCTCCTCTTTAATATTGTTACTGATTTGACTTGTCCAATCTAAACACAGATTAAAGTCGCCCAAAATTACAGCTGTATCTTCATTGTTTGCATCCCTAATTTCATGTTTAATGCCTTCTCCAATACTACCACGACAGTTTGGGGTCTGTGTACAATGCTCACTAGTTTTTTACTGCCACTTGCTGTTTCCAAGTTATATCTGTTCACTAGAGCTAATATCTTTCCTTACTTTTACATTAATTTTTTCTTTATCCAGCAACACTACCCTGCCTCCTTTTCCTTTTTGTTTGTCCTTCCTAAAAACTGAATTCCTTGGATATTCAGTTCCCATACTTGGTCATTCTGCTGTACCATTGCTGTAATCCCAACAATTTCAGAAGTGCTTATATCTATCACCAGAGGAAACCTTTACCCTTCCTCAAAATGCTTGAGTTGCTCAAAAATCCATTTTTAAATTACATTGTGCAACAGCTTTAAAGGATTCAGATGCAAGGCAGCTGGAATACTTAGGAAATGAGAAAAAGAAATGGAATGTATCATTGCCTGATAGTAATGCCAAAATTTGATGAGGCCTTGATCCCGGATGCAAAAGTTCTGGTGAGAAATAACAGAAATTACATTTCCCTAGGATCAGTTGCAGTCTTTAACCCAATGCATGCCCACCCCAGATTTGTGACTGGAGCTGACGATCATTAACTCTATATTTAGCAGTTTCAGTAGAATGCAAAAAAAATTCCAAAGTGGACATTTTACCTCCCCAACTAATCTTTGGAAAGA